AGAGGAGAGGAGAGGAGAGGAGAGGGAAAGGGGAAAGGGGAAAGGGAAGGATAGGGAAAAGGAAAGGGGAAAGGGAAGAGGGATGGGGAAGAAGACAAAAGCTGAAGGAAAAGGGTGGAAGAGAGAAGGAAAGGGAAAAGGAAAGTGAAGAGGAAGGGGGAGGAGAAGGATGGAGAAGAGGAGGAAAGAGGGAAGGGAAAGATAAGGAAGAGGGAAGGGGACAGGAAAGGAAAGGGTAGGATAGGGAAGGGGGAAGGGAAAAGAAGGTTAGGAAAGGGGAAAGGGAAGAGGAAGGAGAAGGGTGAAGGAGGGGAGAAAGAAAGGGGAAAGGAGAGGAGAGAGGAAAGAGGAAAGGAGAAAGGAAAGAAGAAAGGGGAAGAAGGATGAAAGAGAGGAGGGGACAGGTGAGGAGAAGGAAAGAGGGAAGGGGAAAGGAAAGGGCAAAGGGCCAAACGAAGAGCTAAGGCAAGCTTGAAGCAAAGCACAGAGCGAAGAGCAAAGCAAAGCACAAAGGAAGGTGTTTGGCAGGGGCTGTGGGGCAGGGGACCTGCTCTCCTCTCCCAATTCTTTTTTCACGTTTCCTTTTCTGCGGAGGAAACTCTCCCTACAGAGGCTCTCGCTGGGTCTTCTCCTCCCCAGGGGTGATAGGGCTGAGCCTGTGCCCCGTGCCTGGGGGGAGCTCCTGTCCCCTGGGGCTGGGGCCGAGGGGACATTGGCATTGACCTTCTCCGATGTCCCCAGCACTGCCTACACCGCTGAAGCCACCGACTACGACGTGCGGGTGCTCCTGCGGTTTCCCCAGCGGGTGAAGAACCAGGGCACAGCCGACTTTCTGCCCAGCCGGCCCCGGCACAGCTGGGAGTGGCACAGCTGCCACCAGTGAGTGTCCCCACCTCCCCCCCATCAGCCTTCCTTTTCCAGGCAGTTTTAAGGGGTTTTAAATGGCATTTCCCCCTTTTTGTGGCTTTGCTTTGAGGTCCTTGAGGGTGGGTGGGGTGTCACCTTGCTTTGCCTCTTTGTCCCTAAAGCCACCAAGCTCCTGCAATTAATGTCCCCAAGGAGGGAGCTGGCAAAATAGTGTCGGCCCATGAGCCCCCAGAATCACATCGAGGGAGGGGATGGTGCCATTTGGGGGGTCACCCTGACTGTGTGTATGTCCCCTCCCCGTCCCCAGGCACTACCACAGCATGGATGAGTTCAGCCACTACGACCTGCTGGATGCCACCACGGGGAGGAAGGTGGCCGAGGGCCACAAGGCCAGCTTCTGCCTGGAGGACACCACCTGCGATTTCGGCAACCTGAAGCGTTACGCCTGCACGGCCCACACCCAGGTGCCTTTGGGGAGGGAGGGTGCTTGAAGGACTCCTCGGGGTTCATTGCCCCCCAAGCACACCCTGAACCCCCTCTTCTCCCCACAGGGCTTAAGCCCGGGCTGCTACGACACCTACAATGCTGACATCGACTGCCAGTGGATTGATATAACAGACGTGCAGCCGGGGAACTACGTCTTAAAGGTGGCCAGGGTCATTGGGGGAGATTTTTAGGGGCAAACATTACCTATTTGGGGTTGGCTTGGGATTTTCCCGACCATCGGGTTCAGGACCACGCAGCTTTTCTGGTGCCATCCCTTTATTATGGGTTCAGGTGCTGCTCATCCCCCCTCTTACTAATTTTTGGGGGTGTTTTTCCTTCCCTTTTCCCCATTTTTAGGTTCAAGTGAACCCCAAATACATTGTCCTGGAGTCAGATTTCACCAACAACGTGGTGAGGTGCAACATCCATTACACCGGACGCTATGTTGCCACAACAAACTGCAAGATTTCCCAGTAAGGAGGTGTCCATCTGTCCTTCTCTGTCCATCTGTCCTTCTCTGTTCTTCCCTTGGCCATCAAAAAAAACAGAGGTGGGGGTCAGACTCGAGAGGTTTAATTCCTTTTTTCCTCCCTTTCTCTCTGAGCATCGAAAAAAAAAGCTGGATTTGGCCAGCAGTGGAGCTGGGGGTTGGCATCTCACTCCCTTTCGGGTGTTCATATTGAATTTCCTTGTTATTCTGAGGAAGAATGAAGCTGAGTTTCAGAAGATACACCCCCCCCACACACACACACACACACACACCCCCTTGTCTTTGAAATAACATTTTAAAGTGTCTTCCTAAGTGTATTTCCCAAATCCTGGCATTTTTTTTGGTCTTCTTTCAGATCTTAATGGGAGCAGGGACGGAGGAATGTCACCTGCCCCAGCCTCTGTCCTCCTCCTGAGAAAGTGCCTGAGCTGGCTCCTCTGTCCCACTGAAGACCCTGGAGCCCATCAACAGCCTCTCGAGACACGCCCCTACACACACACAAAAAAAAAATCACCATTTCTTCATGTTAAAAGGAGGGGAAGTGAGAATGACTCTTTGAAATACTTTTTTATACTTAAGTTTTCTTTAGCGTTTTTGGTTTTCCCCATTTCCTAAGGGAAACTGATGCTGAGTTTTAGCTGGAATAAAGGCAGGGGCCTGTAAATGCTGTATAAATTATGTAAATCGCATATTAGCAATAGAGAGCTCTGTAGTCTTTAACCCCCTTGGCATTTTTGGGGGAGAGGGGATATCCAGTGATGCCACCTCCTGGGGAGGAAGAAGACAGCCCAGATTTGGAGGTGCTGCCCCAGCAGGGATGCTCAACCTCTCTTCTCGAAGCGGCTGCCACACTGGGATCCTCCGGTTATTTTTGGGACTAAAGGTGCTGGAAATCCTGTCACCTTAACGGAGGGGCTCACTCCATCTGTTTGGCTTTTAAAACCAGGGAGAGAGTCCTTGAGATGACTGGAAGTCTTGGTTTATTATTATTATTA